TATAAACCATGGTTTATAACTTGAAAATTATGGTAATTGAATACAATTTTTATTGTTCAAAATCAAGTCATTTTTTCAAAACATTTTAAAGAATACAAGAGATTTGACCAACAGTACCAATGTTTAGAAAAAAAATAAATGTTGTAGGTAGCTAGATCAGAAGGGTGTGACTGCTAATAATGTTTTTGATATTTTTGAAAAATGTGTAAAATAATTTGGGGATACCAGATCTGATTGTAACAATTGTGACTGGAGAATTTATTTCTCGGGTTAGAAGCACAGCAGAATAAAACCAAAAGCACGAACAGTAGAAAGTTCCCTTTCATTGTACTTGGATTTGGATCTCTTATCTGTAATCCATTTAGCATAGGTAATATATTGAAAACACAGACTTACCTCTCAAATTGAATTTGGACATGACTTGTAGTCATTTGTAACCACTGCACAGGTCGAATGTAACACTATATAGTTAAAGGATGTTTTTTAACTGAATATATGTGGAGTGAGTGCAGTGGACCAACCCTGTATTTGAGAAGGAATGTTAACTATACTTTCAACTTTACTACAGGTATCTACACAAAATGTGGCAAGCTTTTAGCAGTTTGTTCAAATCTGTTGTACACAAAAAATCAGATGTCTTACAAAAGTATTTGTATTTAAGATATGTCTGTGAATTACTGACATCAGTCTGACTCAGAATCTGAAATGTTGGAGTGCAAGGTGATGTTCATGTGGAAAATGAAAATACTTTTGTTTATTGTACAATTTGGATAACCTTTAGAATCTCCAAAATGCACATCTACAGTTTTTCTGTATCCATTTATATTGTATCTGGTTTCCTCTACCATGAACTGTCACTAAATCAGCTACGTATAGTAAAATGTATAGTTGATAACTCTGACATCAAGTACTTAATACCATGTTGAATAGCTTCTATAAAAGGTTATGGCATGTGCACTTTGATCCTCTAAAATGGACAACTAAATGCTGAAAAACCTTTACATACGAACAATGTTAACAGTTGTACAGGATTATTCATGAATTCTGATCAGTACAGATATTTATGAGTTGGATTTTTTGGGGGCAACAAGTGGCATTTATTCATACCTAAATAAAGCTTATATTATATTACTTTCAGATTCAGACTTACAATAATAATACATGTTGCCTTCATTCAGTTTCTCATGGGACCATTTATGGCATGGCAAATACTGAACCCATTTTTCTTTGGGTCTACTATTTGAGAAGGTCTTGTAATAACTTCAAAATGCATTTTTATCCCCATAAACTGTTCTGTTTGAACTACCTTTCTTTCTTTTATTTGCTTTGATTTCATAACAAGCTCATTCTTGGGTTTTGGTTCAATATCCCTATTGTGTTGTTTTGCAGAAGCCTTCTTTTTTTTCTCCAACTTTTCTGTTTTTCAGCCTCAAGTGCATTTTTTCTGGGATGATGGCCCAGATAGGTTGTGGAAAAACAATATATATTGGCATTATATACAAATGAAATCAAGGAATTCTAATTACTAGTGAATACAGCTTGCTGTGAGAAGGTGATGTTGTCAGAGGTACTAGAGTGCAAAATATTGGTAGTGGTCAGGTTGGAAGGAATGTGAAGTTTGATAGAAAAGTGTAGAAGAACTGTTAGTAATAGCAAAGTGAGATGGATGGGGGTAACTTGGAAGAAAAACCAGACTGGAAAAATACTGAAAGAAATAAAATATTTGAAGTCAAGATAGAGATACCAGAGAAGCTGAGGTGAAGTCCATCATTGGAAACAAAATTAGTGGGGGGGTGTTAGTTTTGTACGGTTAATGAAGGCTAACTGGGAGTTGAGTTTGCAACGATTTTGAGTAAGTTTGTTAAAATGCTGAAGTTTATTTTTGAGTTGTGTGATTATGTCTATTAATGTCTGTTTCAAGTCATTAGTGCCAAAATGAATTATAAAAAACTAATACATTCATGAAAAGAAATCATCATAGCTCTGGCATTGGACCTGAATGGCCAGGTGGCTAGGGTGCTCCTCTTTCAATCTGCAGGGCCAGGGTTCTAATTCCTTCTGTCCTACTATCAACTAGAGATCCTGTTTACTTGATGTCAATGATGTATCTCTTAATTCTGATCTGGGTGTAATGCATTCATTTCAATAAAAATACACACCTAAAATCTTAAAATATATTTAGTTAAATAGGAATGACCTGTCTGGAACCTGGAGGGGGAGGGCAGGAGTCAGAAGCAAGAAGTGCCTCAAAAAGTGACACTTGATCTTTGATGGCCACAAAAGCTAAATGATGAGAAATAAAAAATTCTTAATGGACACCAGCTTATTTCAAAATCCATCATTGGGGCTAAAATAAATTATGTCAGAGCTTTGGTTTGAATTTCTAGCAAAGCTACACGAGGGTTATCTGTACCTAATTTATTTGTGAAAGACTAGAGGGAAGGAAGCTAGTCATCATCACCACCTTCCACCAACTCTTGGGCTACTATTTTACCAACGAATAGTGGTATTGACCATCATCTTATAATATACTCATGGCTGAAAGGGCAATCATGTTTAACAGGAGTAAATGATTTGAATATTTTGTGTTATCAAACAGCAACATGAAAGAGTAACATGGAAAGAATACTGAAGCTACATAAAAATGAACTGAATAAAATAATAGATATGATCTCCACTTTACAATTAAAACCACTTTATAGCCTTTTTAAAGCAAAGTCATTAATAAGAGTACTAAAGTAAATATTTCTGGTACATTCACATTCAATTTACAAAAGTGCAAGATATGTTAGCTTTTCATGGCCTATTGTAGATCTTTTGCAGTTGTTAAGTGCCAATTTGCTGAAACTATTTAGTCTCAACAACTACAATTGGTAACATGCAGAAAACATGAAGAGTTATGTACACTTAACTGAAGACTAGCTGCAACATCTTGCTGTAAATTGTATTTAGCAGAATGAGTGGTGGCAGTTCGTTATCTTGGCATAATATTCTCATACAAAGTTATTTGACAGTTTAAAATAGGCTTTTTAATGTTGTTTCAAGTTCATCAATAGCTAGAAACACACAATTTATTTAAAACTGTAGTAAATGTGGCACGTATGTCCTTGGTTGCCTTAAATTGGTGTACCTGATAATTTATAACATAATCCAAAGTAGTTTAAAAAGATGTTGATTATAAACTAAAATTCCACTTTGGTTTCAGCAGACACAGTGGAAGCCATTGTCGAGCTTCATTCTTCTGAAGAATCTATGAAATATTTTCTGTTTCTTAACTCTCTTCTCTGAGAAGTGTGGTGTAAATCTCATGCTTTCTGCAACAAGACATGCTTCTGACTAAATAATGGGCTATTTATCTCTCAGTAGCTCTAACTTTTCACAGAGATCTACAGTGAGAGCTGACTCTATCTCAAGTGATAGCGCCCAGTGGCACAGCGGTATGTCTGCGGACTTACAACGCTAGAATTCGGGTTTCAATACCCGTGGTGGGCAGAGCACAGATAGCCCATTGTATTGCTTAACTTCAAACAATCAAGCATAAAAAACATAAGTGATATTCCCTGAAATTGTATAACCGTTGATTGTCCAACAATATTTGAAAGAACTTTGAGCTAGAAGGTAGCCAACACAAGGCATAAAAATGAGCTGAAGTATTCTTTCAAGGAGTTCACTTCTGAACAACTCTCAGGTGTCAGATATGATGCTTCAAGAGCACACTCCAATATTTTCAGAATGCCTGGAAGATGCATTGCAACAGGATGATTAACATGTGCATTGTGCCATCAATTGTGTGTCAGACTTAAAGTGAAGACAACAGTACATCTCATTTGTTTTCTACCTTGTTTGGCTACTACTGAAAAACACGTACAAGCACTGAACAGAACCAAAGAATGTAACAGTTTCAGGATTTGCAGCTGCTGCGTGAACCCCTACAACACTAAGTGCTTTGAATAAAACAATTATGATGCACTGAATTTTTAATGTGTTTAGCCCACAGTTGAGGATCATTTAATTATGCCTTTGTAACATAATTCTGTGATTTCTCTTTACCCTTGTCTTCATGTAGATAACTGTTTTGTGATGATACTTCGCTTTTCTTTCAAATCACAAGACAGAGCTAGAAGTGCATTCAGCATGCTGCTTTTCCACAACCTGTATAAATGGAATTA